TCCGTTCCGCGGACCCTGTCTTCATTCTCTCGGGATAGGGTTTCTCAACGGTCATCTCCCCTCCATATCTCTCTTTCTCTCTATCTCAGTCTGTCTTCTGTTAACGCTAGCTCCTAGCGTCCCAGCAGTAGTAATGGGAAAAAAGAAACCTAAAGAAGTCGAATCTACATCCCAGAATGACGTCGCTACGTCTCCATCCAACCTATTCAAAAACCTTTTTGGCGCTGCAAACGTTGAAAGCACCCCCGTCTCGTTCCTCTTCTCCGAAGAGAACCCCTTCCGAAGAAAGCCACGAGAACCCGCCTCCGCTAAGAACTCTGAAGATGCGCACTCTTTAGATTCTGAGCTAAAGATTGTCAAACGAAAGAGGGAGGAAAAGAAAACATCCAACTTTGATGTAGTTTCTGCGTCTGAGAAAGAAGAAAAACCAGCTGCCGACACTCCCATGGTGGCCAAGAAATCCAAGAAAGGGAAATCGAGTAATCTAGAAGAAAATTTCCATTCGGGACTCGTACCGAATGGCACATCAGGGAAAGATGACGGAAAGGCTACTGTTTCGGATTCTAATGCTGTTAGCAATGCAAATCTACCTATTTTAGACAACAAGAGGAGGAAGAAGAGAAAGAGGGATGAGATAGAGAAGGAGTACGAGGAAAGAAAGTATGGCGTTTCGCCTCAAGAGGAGGAGCAGGTAAAAGCAAAGGGAGAAGTATCAGGAGGGAAGAAGTTAGTGGGAGAGAAGAGGAAGAAAGTGGATGATGCAGCGGATGCAATGGTGTCCAAGGAAGGATTTGACGACGAGAGCAAGCTTCTGAGGACCGTGTTTGTTGGGAATTTGCCGCTGAAAGTTAAGAAGAAGGCACTGCTAAAGGAATTCAGTATGTTTGGTGAGGTTGAGTCGGTGAGGATCCGCTCCGTGCCAATTATTGATGTGAGTCTTCACGAACGTTGTTGCTTTTGAATTATGTTTTGCAATTTGATTGCTTTGCTGATGCATATTTATTGTTTCATTTTGTTAGACTAAGAAATCGAGGAAGGGAGCCATAATGCAGAAGCAAATTAATGAGCATGCTGCAAGGTATTTCAAGTGTTGCTTGGTTATGAATTACATGGCAGTTTCTTTAATGAAATTAGATTGTTAGACTAACAAATGGTTGTGAATCATTTTCAGTAGTTTAACTTTAGGTGCTCCTTTTGGTGAATTCCAGTATTTTTTTAATTATATGCATTAGGTATATTTTAGTACATGGTTTTTCTCTTATCTGGACGCTTCAACTGTTGTTGGGGTATTGTAGGTCAGCTATTGTTTGGTTCAAATTTCTTTGACCAAACGAGATATTGAATTGTGGGATAACTTTTTACTATCCTTTCTATTGATGCCAATTCTTTTTGACATTTTTTTATTGCAGCGTACATGCATATGTTGTTTTTAAAAGAGAAGAGTATGCTGAGGCTTCTTTGGCCCATAATATGGCTGTGGTGGGAATTTCTTTCTTCAGAGTGTTTTTTTGCAATATCATTATGCTTTTTTTTTTTATATTTTTATTATCCTGATGTTCCGAGGAAATGTATTATGTGCTGATTATGTGTTTATGCATGTCAATATAGGTTGGAGGAAATCACATCCGTGTTGACAGGGCTTGCCCACCTCGCAAAAAATTGAAAGGGCAGAGTACTCCACTCTATGATAACAATAGGACTGTCTTTGTGGGTAACCTCCCATTTGATGTAAAGGTATGTGCTTGTGTGGCTTATTGTAATATCGACCTCCGGTTTGAATTTCTTGTTGTCTAACTTTGTTAATCCATCTCATGGAATGCTTATTTGCTGTGGCAGGATGAAGAATTATATGAACTTTTCTCACGGATTAGCAATTTGGAATCCAGTGTTGAAGCAGTTCGTGTCGTTAGGGATCCTCACCTGAGTTTGGGAAAGGGTATTGCCTATGTTTTGTTTAAAACAAAGGTATGTACCTTTTGTTGATGCCCCTGAAATCTCTATATTGAAGATTAAGTCATGCATTTTTTCACTATGTTAATTTGAAGTTTACATAGGATGAAAAAGTTTTGTCGTGGAATGAATTTCCTTTTTACTTTAAAATTATTTATTCTTTTGTCATGAACCAAGGTTATTCTTTCACTACCGTTAGTGTTCAGTCATTTTTGTCAATGTTTGAAAATCGAATAAAAGGGAGCAGAAGATGTAAAACAAATTTCAGTGATTTGTATAGCATAATCATTTTTGTCTCCTTTAGAATTTTTTTCTTTTTAGTCAAAGACCATCATTATCGAGGGTTACAAATGTCCTTTGGCATGAAGGTCCTCTGTTTATTGTTGGATGAGGAAATAGATTAGAGATTCACAGTTTCCTCTCAAAGAAGTAAATGTAGTATAAAAGGATAATGTAGGAAAAACTATTGATTTGTTAACTTAGTTATTAGGGATGAACCTAGATATCAAACAAACTCTTAGATATCACACAGAAGAAAGGGTTTCTTAAGTAAAATTTGATTGCATCACGCATGGTATTGAGAAAAATGTGATGATCATTTATTCACTTAAGGCTTGAAGCTCGAAAGTAAAATTATATAGGTGTTTATAATGCTTAGACATAAAATTCGAATTTAACTGTGATTACAATATTCGAATGAAAAACTTATAACTTAAGGATTGAAACTATAAATAAGTAATTGTTAGCGAAATAAAAAAGTTAGGAATCCTCCATACCTCGTTTTCTGTCTCTAGGTGATTATGGCTTTATTTTGGAGCATTCCTTTCCTACAACCGAGGAACTTTTGGTGATAGAGAAGAACTCTTTTGATGTTATTTGAGAAGGTGAGATTGAAGATAATCCTGGGGTTATGTGCAAGGGGCTAGAAGACATTTTTGTTTTACTTGTGCAGCATGGACATCAAGTGGTTTTTCCCTTTCTTTAGTGAGTCCTTTTGGTTAAGGTGCGTACTTCTGTCTCATTCTGTGAAGAATAATAGTAAAGTTTTGTCCATTTTTGGTGCTTTTTGGAACTGAGAAGGATGAAGAGGGCTTTAGGAGGATTCTCTGGAAAAACTTGTTAGATGCAACATCAAGGCTCTCTTGTCTAGCATGCAAAGTTATTCTGTAGAGGTTCAGAACTTAAAAGGAAATAAATTCATGAATTAAATACGGAAGCGATTAATCTATTTAGAGTTTATATTCTTTATACAACAATTTTGAATAGCTAATAGGGTTACGAAAATATTTATTCTAAAATACAAACGGAAATTAAAAAAATAAAACAAAATGCGAATAACTAAATATTTTAAGACAATCTTCACTATTACTTGAAGGAAGTCCGGATAGTGAACTACTCACAAACATCTTACTAATTAAGATTTAGATCTTAGTTCTCTTAATCTGAAATAGTTAATGAAAGGGTAAGGTTCATTAGCCCAGTAAGAATATCATACTAATCATAGATACGGAAAATTGAAAATTGGTAAAAAATCAGAAAAACTACTAATAGAGCCCTTACTTTATTTAAATACATTTAAACTTGAAGACATTTGTTTAATACTTACCATAACGAGTTTTTCAAAAACAACTTATGAAGATATATATTCATATCACTTTTCACTTACATGCATAAGAAAACAAGAAAATAATAGCTTTTTTTTCTTACCTGTTTACTGGTACCTCTGAGGGTTCATAGGGGTGTTCCCCCTACCCGTAAACCCAATATTCAATTTTACAATTGACCAGTCATCCTCATATCTCGTCCGATAACAGACACAAAAAGAGGGGGCTACTGTATAAATTGGATATGGAGAAGGCTTTTGACAATGTTAGTTGGGACTTAATAGACTATATGCTCAATCGTTTTGGTTTCAATTTAAAATGGCGAAAATGGATTAATACTTGCATCTCCACAACAAGTTTCGCTGTCATGGTTAATGATGGTCCTTTCACTTTCTTTAATGCTTCTAAGGGGTTGTGCCAAGGCGACACGTTGTTTCCATTAATCTTCATTGTGGTTATGGAAGCATTAAACAAGCTTATTGAGCAAGTAAAAAATTTGAATCTCATTAGAGGAATCAGAATGAGTAAAGAGGAAAACATTAAGATCACCTATCTATTCTTTGCCGACGACAGCCTAATTTTCTGCGAACCCGATGTTAATATGCTGCTTAATCTTAGATGTATTCTTTTCTGTTTCCAAGCTGTTTCAAGGTTAAAGATCAACATGTTAAAATCTGAGATGGTGGGTTTTGGGATTAATAACATTGTGGAACATCTTACTTCGATTTTAAAGTGCAAATCAGCAACACTTCCCATCAAATACCTTGGGGGATCTCTTGGAGCGAAACATAAAGATCCAAAAAGTTGGGAGCCAATAATTGATATTTTTGATAAACGTCTTGCTGGTTGGAAAAGAAATTACTTGTCTAAGAGAGGGAGATTGACTTTGATCCAGAGCACATTATCAAACCTTCCAACTTACTATCTTTCCGTCCTTACCATCCCTACAAAGGTTGCCAAAATCCTTGAAAGTATACAGTGCAGATTCCTATGGGGAGATGAGAAAAATAAGAAAAATTTCATCTTGTTAATTGGGAAGAGGTGAAAACTCCCATCAGTTCTGGTGGCTTTGGTTTGAGATTCTTAAAGACTTTAATAAAGCCATGCATGGTGAATAGGTGTGGAGATATTGGAATGAATCAAACAGTTCGTGGAAAGAAGTTTTTGACTGCAAATGGAACATGAAGGGATGCCTAAATCATAATTTGATAAACTGTAGTAACTATGGTGTGAGTTTTTAGAAAAGTATCTCTAAAGTGGGCAATGAAGCTATGCACTGCTCTAAATGGGAGGTGGGCAATGGTAAAAAAATCAAATTCTGGTTAGATATTTGGTGCGGAAACATTAATCTGCAATCTCGTTTCCCCCAAATTTATGCTTTATCCACGGACAAACTAATGACTATCGAGCAAGCGTTTGATAACAGTATTGGCAGGAGCTGGAATATTGTATTGCACAGAAATTTGAATGATCGGTAACTTGAGGAGTTTGAAAATTTGATGGTTTTGCTGGAATCTATAAGAACTAGCAATAGAGAAAACAAAGCTGATGTGAACTTTGAATAAAAGTGGATCATTTAACATCAAATCCTTCTATAACCACATTGCCGACTAAAATAGTAGGATCAAGCAGGTGTACCCAGCAAAAATGATATGGAAGGCAAATGCACCTCCTAGATTCTCTTCTTTTGCTTGGGAAGATTCCAAAAATCGTATACTTACCATAGATAATCTCATGAAAGAGGCATTATCCTAACAAACAGATGCTACTTGTGCAAGAATAATTTAGCATCCTGTAACCATCTATTGCTTTGGTGCCCCAGCACTTATTCTCTATGGTCCATGGTCTATGGTTTACTAGGCATCCGTTGGGTCATGGCGGGAACCGTCGAAGATGAATTGCTTGCATAGGAAATGATAAGCAGAAAGACAAAAAATTCAGACTCATCCCTCTTACCATTTTCTGGGTTATTTGGAAAGAAATGAACAATAAAGTTTTTGAAGATAAAGAAGACAACTTTAGCAATATTTTGAACAAATAGTTTTATATTTTTAGTTTTATAATACTAGGACATAGCATCACCTATTATGATGATTTAAGGTTAATTGTAGATATGTTAATTGACTTGTAAATCTTTTTGTACACGAGTTGGCGCCCCTTTGGTGCCCTATTTCAGTATATTTTTATATTTTTATCTAAAAAAAAAACTACGTCCAATTATAAGGCAATAACCCATTTTTTAAATTGGATATGCCATGAAGGATTTAGCGGAATTTGTTAATACATTGATTGACATGTAAAGTTTGTACATAGATGTTAATACATTGATGTCTTCAATTGTAAGATAAATGTAGATAAACTGGAAGTCTTCAATTGTTACGGGGTCATCTTCTTAGCTCCATGAAGGATTTAGCGGAATTTGTTAATACATTGATTGACATGTAAAGTTTGTACATAGATGGCACCCCCTTGGTGCCTATATTGTGCAATCCAACACGTCATATTTCAAAAAAAGATCTAGGTAAATTGGAAACAGTTGCTTTCGAGGGTGGCATTGAAGTTTGAGTGCTGTGGTGCTGTTCTTGGGTGAAAGATATATTGACTTCGAAATAGTTGGACTTGCCCCTGGGTACAAGATTTTAGAAACTAACATGTGGGAGCTTGTGAGCAAAAAGATGGAAAGGAGAATGGCAAGCTGGAAGAGGAAATTTCTAACTGGACATGGGAGATTAACACCTATCAAGAATATATAATCAAAATTTGCCTTCTATTCTGGAAGCATTCCCTAGGCAGGGGTATACATACAAAAATCCTAGACAGGAAAAATTAAAAAATATATATTATCGTTGAAAATAAATCTCTAAACACATGGTGCATCACTTTCTATATCACTAATACTCAAAAGTATCAGTAAAAGAAAATGTTGGCCAAGAAGACAGATCAAGGATGGCTGTACCACTGTTGATCCATGCTGTAACGTATAGTTGCACCATGCGCAGGCACTTGTATTTTAAAATATTATAACATATAAATATTGCTAAATAATAATATATTACTTATTTATTTTACGTTATTGTTTATTAAAAATTAACATAAATTAATTTTTTTAGTAATAGTACTTTTAAAATTGATTAGATAATCAACATTATTATTTTATAAGACAATTAAACAAGAAAATTAATAAATATTATTTATTAAAGATGTTCTTGTTTAAATAAAAAATTAATGTAAGTTACAGCATTGGTCAAGGATGTTTTGCATAGCAACCATTGGTCTCTGTTGCTGGACAACTTTCCTCTACTGATACTCAAAGTATCAATGATGGCAAAAAATACACCTATTTGAGAATTATTTTCAACTTCACCTTATTTTAACAATTTTTAATATACTGTATAGAGATTTGTCCCAGTCTATTTCTCTCCTTTTTTTCTTTCCCTTCCAAGGTAGTCAAGGCCTTGGAGATGCTTTGATGTCAGTTCCTTTGGGTGGGATTTTGAAGATCATTATTGTTATTAATTAATAGCTTGTAGTTACCAAAACAGCATCTTAAAGTTTCTTGCCATTCGATCAAGATGAATAAACCCCTATTAGCTAAATGGTTGTGGAGATTTACAACATGCAAAGGTGAGATGTGAATGGAGGTGATTTGGACTAAAGATGGAGTTTTATGGGAAGAGGTTGGAGGATTTGGAATCATACTGTCTCTTGGGAATGGTGTGTGCAGGTGAATCAAAAGAGATCTGAATGTCCTCATGGATATTACTGTGTTTATTGTTGGAAACTGGCACTAGTGATGAGATTTGGGATGGGGGAGGGGGCTACGAGTTTATAGATCTAGTAGCCTGCTTTACAGTCTTATTCCTTTGTCTATTTCAGTTATCCGGAGAGAGAGGAACAAATGAGTTCTTGAGGGCATTTGCTCTCATTTGAATAAGAGGTACCTAGTTCACTCTCTGAGTGCTCTGTTACTAAGGAAACCTGGTTAAGTCCCTGAATATTTTGTTATTAAGGAAACTAGTACTCAAGATGAGAGCACTGTGGGAACATGTTAGATACTTTTACTTCTGCTGTTTTCTTAGCTTTGGGCAGCAACTCCTTGGTGTGCCTGTACTTGTTTTTATATCAAAAAACAAATTCTGATACAAAAACTATAATAATATACTACTAATAGTACAATACTTTTAGATTTAAAAGGAGAATAATTTCTTATCTATTTAGAAAATTTAGGATAATTTCGTTCTGCATGAGAAAAATTCATTAAAGTTGAAGAGACAAAATATAAATTTCAAAAGCACATTTTCATGCAATGATGTTGTAATAAGCTGCAAAGCTTTTCTCTTTTTCCCTTTTTTACATTCTTAGATTAGAGTTTACCAATGTGGGTTTTCCCGGAGGGGATGTAACAAGGGGGACAAGCGTTGTTAAGGGCTGTATTGCTTTTGGTATCCACTGGAGGTCTTCTCTGCTGTCATAAAATGTGGAATATTTGGAGTATCACTCCATCATATTGAAGACTGAACTTTCATCTCAAATTCTCAGAAAGTTGCTCTGAGCATTCATTTGAAACATCTATACAAGATGAAGGGAAGCATAATTAGGAAAAGGCTTTATTTATTACTCAGAGCTCATATGTATTTAATACTGGATGCAACTATTATTGTGTATGGAAATCAATCTGTAGTTTTGGCATGCAGGAGGCTGCTAATATGGTCATCAAGAAACGAAACTTGAAGCTTCGCGACAGGGAGCTTAGGCTTTCTCATGCCACATCAAATTCCACCCCAACTAAGAGAAAGAATCCTTCAGCAATATCAGAAGCAAATTCGCCAGGCAAAAAGTTGGCAATTGAGTCAAAGGACAAAAGATCAACCACAAAAACTAGTCTGTCATACCAAGGATTGCGGGCAAGCAAGTCCAATATGAAAAAGATGAAAAATCATCCAAAAGGCATTGGACCGGTGCCAGTGAAATTTAAAAATGAGAAAAAAGAGAAGCCAAAAGAGTGGAAGCAGAAAAGGCCTGCAGTTGCTGCTAGAAAGGCAAAAACAAAAGCTACTAAGGATGGTGGCACCCCAAAACAATCAGGGGTTAAACGGAAGCTGGATAGTCGAACGCCAGAGAGCTTTAACCAGAAAAAGAAGGTCAAGAGGTTTTAGGTCTTTAGCCATATCAATCATGTTGTAGTGTAGGGCATATAATAAGAAAAGCTACACCTTAGCTTTCTGCCAAGAGGATAAACATGTCCTATCTTATTTAGAGTACACACTTGTTTGTCAACTATGTATCTGTAACAAGCATGTCTTACATCTTTATGAGGAATCTTTAGCATGCAACCATTTTTATTATGTTTTACCAGAAAGGTAGGATTTTTTTTTTTCTTTCTAGTATTGACAAATTCTCATTTATATTGAAGTAAAATCATTAGTATTTTTTTCTGAGTTCACATCTCTGGAGGTCTGAATCATCTCTCCGATTAGCTTTTTTCTTTTAGGCAAGTTTTATAAAGGGCATGAAATTCGAGAATCAGATGCAGAACCGATTCTAGGCGTTCTGATTGGATGATTATTTTTATGTGTATTTAATTTTTAGGCAAAACGTAGTCAGCTTACTTACATCCATCAACCAAATAAAAGTATTGACATGATTATCTTAAACATAATAAATATTTTGACTGACCAAATTATTCAATATTTTATTAGTAGATAAACATTCAAAGTTACACTTTGTTTAATCAGGGTAAATATTGTTATGTTTTAGCAAGAATTGTTTGTAAATTTATATTGATTCTAATTACAAAATTGTATTTAAACGAGACAAATTAAGTCTTACAAATTTCTAAATGGAATTGTAATAACATTTATATTTGAAATACATTTATTTTAATTTGACATAAAATTTTATACGAACTCAATTTTTTTTTTTTATCGTTTATTTTAAAACAAATTATCATTTTCATGTTAGTCACAAATTAGATTCTTCTGAAGCAACTGACACCATTGAAAAAAAAAAAAAAAAAAGAACAGACCAAGTGGCTTATCAGCGAGAAAACCCAGTTTGTCTGCAGAGGCGGGGAGAGTAAAAGCAAAACAGTAAAAGAAAATTTGAAGGAAGGAAATGAGAGAAGGGCAAGGGCTTAGAGAACTGAAAAACCAACCCCTTCTCTGTGTTTTAACATTTTGATTTTTCCAATTTTTAACATTCTTCTAAAATTGAGCTTCTTTTCTGTTTTGGACAACGGAAGCTGGAGATGAGGTGCGCAAGGGACTGAACTTTGTTCATGTCAATGGAAAAAAAGAGTAGGAGAGAGAAGCCACTTCTTGTCCACACAAGCCTTTAGCTTATTTCAATTTTTTTAACAGTGTTACTAGTTTTGAGAACAAATTTAAAAATTTGAGAACCATTTTATAACGAGAAGTAATTTTAAAGACTACTTTGAAAAATAAATTAAAATTCAGATTTGTTCTTTATTTTATTACTATTTCTAGAGGTTTATATAAAAAATGCAAATAAATAAATAAATAAACAAGTATGATTTAATAATTCAATTAGTATGAGTGAAAAAATTGTAGTTTTCAGTTAAAACTGTTGTCTAAATTCAAGTAAAAATATAATTGAGAAACGAAAAATAAAATTTACTATTCCTCTAGACTTGGGATTGCTTTTGCCACTGCATCATTCAATGAAAGGAAAACCCTTTTTTTTTTTTTTTTTATAAATAAATTCCAAATTACAAGAAATTTACCACAATGGAATGGATGTGTGTGGGCCAATATATAAAACCAGCAACATCAACCATTGTGAAACCACTACATGATATATTCTTTTCACCTTAAATCCTCTAAACAATGATGTACAGACAGCCAAAACTACAAGACAATTCAACGTCTAAATTAACATTCAACAGATCATAAACTACCCACCATAACCCCCCCACTTCAACCAACAAATGACAAACTGCACATGCATATCATCCAATGCCTCCTCGGTTAACGACTTCTATCTGCAGCATCAGCAACAAAATCTCATTATTTTTTGCTAATCTGTACATTAATGATGTTCCAGCTAAACAGTTGCCTGGAGATTGGAGGCTCAAGAACAGCAAGAGAGTCCAGCCACCGGAACGTTATGATTTGTTCTTGCTCATCAAAGTGGGGGTAATGGAGACGATACCAATCAGGAAAAGAGTTGCAATAGAATTGAAGTCATAAAGATCCCCAAGAGACTGCAACTCTCCCAGAGCTATTCCTGCCTGTATGAAATATAAATGCTTCAGTAAAACTTGCAACCTTATATATTAGAAGTGATACAAAGAGTTAATGCTTTCTAGAACTGGATATAATTCAGAGTTTTACGCTTTCAGGAAGATTTCCCACTCTGTAAAAAGGTCTTCATAGTTAATTCTCTAAACTTCTAAATACACTCTTTATTGAGTTCTTACTATTGAACTTGCTAATTGATTTTCAAGCCTAGATGATTATACTTGTAACTAAAAGTATTCCATTCACACATTACATATAATATCCACATTTGTAGATATAAAAGAAAAAAGAGTTAAAAAACATATGCAGTACCTTGACAGTCACATAAGCAGCAGGGATGAGTCCAATTAAGGTCCCGAGGAAGAAGATATGATAAGGCACGTTAACAATTGGTGAAGCAACATTAATGAAAGTATTTGGTAATGTCGGAGTCAGTCGTAGGAAAAGCATGTAGTTCAACAGCCGCTCTCTTCTTCTAGCCACCTGTGAGTAAAAAGATAATTTATCCTTCTTCTGAACAATACAAGCAAAGATTGAGAATGGGAAGGATTGAGACTTCAGACTGTCACTCACCTGATCCTGGAAGAAAGTCAACTTGTCAGGCCAAAGGGAGAAAACAAGGGGCCGGCCTATCAGCTTCGAAAGGAAATAGCAAGAAGAAGCACCAGCAGTGGCAGTGAACACAACGAGAGCCACACCTTTTAAGACTCCAAAAAGGGCTCCAGCTAGCAATGACATAAAAACAGTCCCTGGAATCATGAAAGTCTGCATGAAAATGTAGACAATACAATACCCCACCAGGACCTGTACAGTGTAGTCACTTGTGTAGCTCTCCAGATGATCTCTACAAGAACGACTCCACACAATAAATCAACTAATACATCAGGAAAAAAATCAAACGATTGAACAACAAGAAATGTAGTCAATGACTAGGAAAAATGAAGAGATCATTAGATCCATTGTATCTTTGATTTTGACCTAAAAAGCTCTTAGCTCCAGCCTTCCATGCACATCTGTGTATAATGTCTTTGAGTTCAGCACTTGCAACATTTACTTCATAGAAGGATATGAGATCCTGTTAGTGTCAGCAGATTTAGATGGGGTTTTAGATAGAAAAGATCCTTAAACTAAGGAGCGCAGAGAAGATGACGAGTTCCTAATATAGGTGAGACTTTGTTATTGTCAGCTGATACGTTGACTTTGGAACAGAAAAGATCCTTAAACTAAGGAGCATAAGAGAAGATAGAGGTCCCTGATATTCCATAAAATAACAGCTGGATCAATATTGCTATCCACTTTAAGTTGATCAGGTCCCCAAAGATCAACGATGGTAGGGCCGCTCAGAGGCATCTTAACAACTGATTCTAAATTTAGTAGGTATTCCTCGCAATTCAATTTTAAGGTTATCCCTGATACCCTTAGCTTTCTCAAGTAATCAGAATTGATACGCTGTCACCGCGTTTCAAAACTCAACCAGTGCCAAGAGTGGGTCAAAACTGCAGCAATTTTATAATTAAAGAAATCCAGAAGCAACAGCACAAGGAACAACTCCTCCAAACATGTCAACTTCCTCTCTCAACTTTGATAATTACCAATAGAAGGCTGCTTTATAAAGAAATCCACCTCTTATCAAATCTCGCGAGGCTAATTTTGGTGCAGCAACAGGAAATGAGAATGAAGCAACGGACATAGTTAGACAAACAGTTTTGTGTTCAATTCTGCAGGGGAGACATCCTGCAGGAATCCCTCAAAATTCTTTCTCGCGGATAATATAAGTTGCTATAGCATCGGGATTATAACATTTTTGCAGAAATCAATAACACAAATATAGTTCAAGTACAAAGCAACCAATTCAACACGTAATCTCGTTCAACTAAATTCAGCAAGCAAAGATAAGTTTTGATTAGGAAGATAACAAACAGATCCCTTGGAAATTCAATCACAGCCAAAAGTTCCATCCATCAGGATTAAAAGAAAAAAAATATTTTAGAAATGGAATTGTTGAAACAGAGAGAAATTTGGCCAAGCAAACAGAACGGAAACATACTAAGGAAAATCAATATCAGCACAATGAATCGAATCGCATCCGTTAATAAAAATATCAAAGGCTCGAATAGGCGTCAAAGCAAATTAATTTGGAAATCCTAAAGCTAACATCAATTGTCTAGAAAAAGAAAGAGCGAAAAAAAAAAAAATCAGATCTCGTGTAGCTTTAAAGGCATTAATTTAGGGTGGAAAAGAAGAAAGTGTCGACATTATAACAGACCTGAGGATTTGAAGGTCTTGGAGGGTTCGAGGTAGCTTGAGGAAGCTGTAATCAGAGGCAGGCATGGTCAGGTAAACGCAGAGGAGACCAAGCAAGAATCCAAGGACAACCATGGAAGCCATGGTTACCTCCCAAAAGCTCAAGGGGAATCTAGATCCCACCACCACCACCACATTATCACTACTCTCTGCTCGTTTCCCCATGTTTCTCATCTGAACGTCTACAAACAGAAGAAAGATTTAGAGAGAAAGAAGGAAAAGATGGAAGAGCCTTTTAAGCCCCTCCTCCTCCTTTCCTTTTCGGGCACTCCTCCCTCCCTCCCTCCCTCTTTCTCTCTCTCTCTCTCCCCTTATCTACGACTGAGAATGAACCAGAGAGAGAGAAAGAATATTCCCCTCCTCTGCACTGCACAATTATAATGCCGCAACTTGACGTATACACATACATCTAAACTATTGATTTATATTTTATATAATATACAGATTAATTATGAAATTAGGTTAAACCAGACTAATATTAATAGATTAAATCTCATCATAATTTCATAATTAGCGTATTTAAACAAATCATATTATAATATTAAGACGAGTCATATGGTTTTAACCCAATTTTATCATATATAATATTATTTATTATATATAATATATGGATTAAATAAAAAAATTAGATTAAACCATATAAGATTTTCTCATAATTTTATAGTTAGCGTCTTTGAATGAAAATAATATTGAGATGAATAATTTTTTGAAAAAAAGTTTATTAAAATATTTTTAAAAAAATTATTTGGATTTGATGTAATTATTAATCTCCATCATGTTTATAGAAGTAACTTAAATTAGAATTCTCTATAAAATAATTTATGTTAAATAACAAGTAAATAATAGTTAATTTTGATTTTCTAAATGAAATAATATAATCTTTATTAGAAAGTATACTTAAATTATAGATATAATTAACTTAATTATTTAAAAAAAAAATGAAAAATAAATGTTTTTTTTTTTTACTTTTTTATTTTCTATTATAATAGAAAAATCAGCATTTTTTTGTACATTGTTAATTACCAAAAGTCATTTATTCTTAATTTATTACTTCAATTAATTAATTATGTAAAAGTTAAAAAGTACATTCTCTTTTTGCATATTTAATTCGTAAGTAATGATTATAATTATAGCATCATCATGCGTGAGACATACGTCACACCTTGTTTAGCAAGATTTTTAATTCAATCAATGAAGATCTTACACATCAAAATTGGCACGTTTAAATAGATTTATATTTTTTGTACTTTTAGTCAGAAAATTAAATCAAATTACTATTTTTCATCATATGCTATGCATTTATATTTTATTGGTCAAATTTTAAAATAATTATGTAAGAAATTCTAGTAAAATTTATAAAAAAAAATATATGTTTATTATTAATTTATATATTTTTATTATGTATAAACCAAGGAATTATTAATTAATAAGACTATCATATAAAGTGCATATATAAATAATTATAAATCAATTTAAACACATCTTTCATAAAAATAAATATAAATTAAAATAATTTATTTTAATAATTATTAGACATGTGATGAGCAAAGAATAATATACAATGCATATTAATATTTTAATTATATGTTAATTATTTTAAAATTTGCATAAATAAATGATTAAACTGATCATATATTGTTAATATATTTATGTTATTTAATCATATTACTTAAATATATAGTTAATACGAAAATAATTAATAATTTTTTTGATGATGTGACTTAATATTGTAACACTTGCTCTAATTTTTATGTATAAAAAATAACATAAGATATGTTATTTAATGTAACGGTCCTGGAAATTAAAAAGAAATGTATAAATTTATTTTAAGTACGGAAGCGAAATAAAATAGATTATGATTAACATCCCTTACACAAATAACCAAAACGATTAAACGTATAAAAGAATAAACTAAATAAAAGAAATACTATGAATGAATATTATAAGGAAAACTAATAAACTCTTAGGCTTCTACTCGCCGTCTTCCTGCAGAACAGGCTCGGAAACCAAGTCCTCCTGATCTGAAATGGTTAAATAAGGAATGAGCTACACTAACCCAGTAAAGACATCACACTATCTCACTGTCACAGAAATAAAGGTTGGTAGAAAACAAAAACGACCAATGGAGCATAATTTATAACAAACTCATTTATCAATAATAAAACCTTTTACTGTCCACTTACCTCGGTGAGATTCATGAAAACAATTTATGAAAATAATTATATCATAAACATCATAAGATCACGCACACTTTGTAACATAACCATATCATACTTTTGTATTTTAATCATCAGGCAACAAAGTTCTTCTTTTATCAGTTTACTAGTATCCATGGGCATCCATAGGGGGTTCCCACTACACGTGAACCATTCACATTAATAACTTAATTTCAGGACCGTCCCCATACCCCGTCCGGTATGGATGCCAAAACCATAAACCTCAATACCCCATCCGGTATGAGGGTAAAACGAGCCGTCCCCATACCTCATCCGGTATGGGCGCCAAAACACATAAAATCTCCATACCCCGTCCGATATGAGAGACCACGTTCCCGGTAGGGTTCCCTATGGACCCGGTCCGTCCACCATCTCTCAGGATTTCTAGTTAGGCTGTCGGTATTATATATTTATCAATTCACATACATTTTTTCATTTTTCTTAATCTCAATTATCCAATCAAATATAAACACATAAACCAGTAATAGACACCAAATAA